AATCCTGTTACACTGTTAACAGACATTAAAGTACAATTCAGCCAGAAATAAAAATACTGTTATTAATTCAGCCTTACATGCCATTCCAAACCTGTATGATTGGCCAATACAAAAGTAGATTGTTCTTTTCCATATAATGGAAGTAAATGTGAACCAATCACTTAATGTGAGTAATGGACCAGAAGTCATTATTCACAGAAAGTCTTCCGCTCCATCTCGCCTACTGACAAATGTGATGCCAGTGATGACAAACTCCATTTGGTTCTTGTGTCTTAACTGAGCACAACAAGCCGATGTGGATGTGCAAATGAGATTTTGAGAGCTACGTTGGAGGGCAAAACTGCTAATATAGCACACATGCACTCAGTTTTCTCTGAATCTGAGTCAAACCAGTCTGTTACATGTCATTTACATGCTACTAATTTTGCTCTGTTAAAATATTTAGTTACAGCATTTTGACTTGGAGCACATGTCCCCATTCATTTTCATTATATGGAAAAGATCAGTTTGGACGTTCTGCTGGACACAGCAGAAAGAAAGTCATACAGGTTCAGAACGACATGAGGGTTAATGAAATGATGACGACAGGTTCTTCATTTTGGGCTGAACTGTCCCTTTACCTTCTCATTGCTCATGTGAAATGGGCTCTATAGTACTGTAAGAGGATGTTGCTGCTGTGATCATGTTCATTTGATGTGGTTAAGTGTTAGTGTGCTGCATTGATGGTAGATGTAGAGTTGGTGTTGTCGTCGCAGCGAACCCACTTCCACTTGTCAAACACTCAATACAGATGTAATCAGTCGTATGCAAATATTTGTATAACTGTGTCAGCTCAAGGCCACAATGTTCCCACATTTGCATTACTGATTTGCACAATTAAATATATGCTAGGTTAGTATCCTAACAAAATGTTAACTTACCTCGCTCTTCTCTTCATCTGGTATCTCCCATGCATTCGAAGCTGTAAATTCTCAGTTTAGATTAATTTACGTTTAAAAGCACTAAATTGTCTATTATCTCTGACAGAGTGAAGTTTTTTAGCGGTATAAAAACCTGAAGGGTTGCTAGTTTTGTTTTTCACCCAAAGACAGCAAGATATCTTTGACACGTTATTCACACTTATAACCAGTAGATGGCACACTTGTTTAGGTTTCTTTTTTGCTATCACCTTTATGTCTAAATCAGTGCACCCCTAGTGACCTTTTGAGACAGATGGCTCACATTTTCATAGTGTAAATAAGGGACAAAGAGTATGCTGCTGCTGCTGCTTTTGGATTTTTTTTTTTCGTTCAGTCAAGCACATTTGAATATAAATTGCAAAGTCTTTCATTTGAATATAAATTGCAAAGTCTTTCATTTGAATATAAATTGCAAAGTCTTTCGTAAGGCATTCACCATTTACCCAGATTTCCACTCTGCAAAAAGGAATTCAGCGTGTGAGCCTGTGTTTGTGTGTGCGCGTCTGGTGAATTGTGCTTTTGCAAACCTATTGCAGCTTCAAGGCACAAACAAGAGGAAATTGTCAGTGAAACGACTACTACTCTCTGTAGGAATTTATGTTCTCCTTCCAATGTACTCGTTGCTTGCGTTTAACGGATCCAGTTATTTAACGAATGGATAGCTCATTCAGCCACCCTGAGCGTTGAACCTCAATAAGAGTGCAAACATTTTTGTATTATGAAATAAAACTGTTGTATAAATACGTTCAAGTTATTTTTGTAAATCAAATGCAGTTTTACAGTGTTTTTTAAAGATACGAATGTATGCTGTAGGACCGTACCCTGATTGGTGGTGGAGTCAGTATTCTGGAGCGTACGGCGATGACTGACAAGAGAAGCCTCTTAAATCCGAGTGTTTCTTGTGAACAAACTAATTTCTCCATCAGTGATCTGACAAGGTATGATTTGGAAATATATATTTGTAGTAAGATTTTTCAAGTTTGGGATGTTTAGTTCTGAAACTAGGATGTTCTTTCTTACGTGGCTAGTTGTCAAACAAACGGGCCTCCTGAAGATTCCTAATTTTGATTTTTATTTCAAAGCGAATTATGATACTTAATCGAATTTTGAGTACATTTTTTAACGATGGTGGTGGCGTCCACCACCATCAGTTTTCACACACTAAATTCTCTTATTTAATACAGTGATCTTTGATTTGTTATGATGTAGCTTACTATTTTTATACGGTATGTTTTCATGGATGTGACAGAGCTACAGTCATCAGCATTCTCCAATTTGCATGAGACTGAAACTGTTGCATGTACAGAACTGGCAGATGCAATTTATCTAATCATATTTGTGCATTACTTCTGGCTAATTGGGCAGTTTGTGTTTGTTTTCAGCCGTTTTTACCTTTCTCCTTGTTTGAGAGGTGACCCCAGGCTGTGTGACAGTGCAATCTAGGTGGAAAGAACATCTGATTTTTGTTAGTTTTATTTTTTTTCTTTTCTTTTTGCACTGTTTTAATAAAATTCTCATTGTATTTAAACAGTTGTTTGTATTGATTTTATTTTGCACCCTCATTCTCTACATTTAACTATATGAGGCTTTAATAACAAACATCTTGTATTTTTACAGTGACACAAGAGCTTTCAGCTGCATATATAAGGTTATTCCCACAGTTAAGGAAAACTGGAGAATTTTACAATTTTAGTGGGGATTAAAGAAATGGTTGAGCCAAATATGAAAATTTGTTGAAAATGTACTCGCCCTCAGTCCATCCATGATGTAGATGAGTTTGTTTCTTCATCAGGACAGATTTGAGGAATTTAGCATTCCATCACTTGCTTACCAATGGATCCTCTGCAATGAATGGGTGCCGTCAGAATGAGAGTCCAAACAGCTGATAAAAACATCACAATAATCTACAAGTAATCCACACGTCTTCAGTGCATAAGTGAATGTCTTGTGAAGTGAAAAGTGGTGTGTTTGTAGTAAACAACTGAGAGTGAGTACTTTTTTTTTTTTTGGTGAACTGTTATTAATTTGCAAAAAATAAATACAAAATTTAAAAAACATTAAAAATAATGGACATTTTTCAATATTTTAAGGCTCTTCTCTAAAATATTTCTTTGGTTAGAATCTGCTCTTTAGCCATCTCAATGATTTTTCCAGTAATCCCAGTATGGAAGTGTTTAAACCTAAATTAAGAAAAACTAAAACTATAGTCGTAAGCAAGCATATGAAGAAGCAACTTGTTTACTCAGCTAAAATGCAGCTGATCCTTGCAATTGTTTCAGAAATATCTTAAGTTATTTAATTTTAATTTCCAGCAAGCACTGTCTGCCATCTAGGACTGGTAATTACCACAGCATGTGATTTTTGCCTTGCGTCAGGACACAGTGTACAGGGTAAAGCATAAATAAAGTTTACTCTTCTTAATGCAAGTTTATATTAGATTGCTGAAGACGTATTTTGCTTTCACTTACAATGTGAGAAATTGCTAGATTAGTGCTCTGGATATTTTTATTATTTATGATGTATTTTTGTGGGCTATTGCTTGAGTTCTTTTGCTCTAATAAATTCAAAGTGAGAGTCTGATGAATTAGTAATAGCAACACTGATATCTTTGGGATCAGTTTTCATTTGTTTTTGCTTTGCAGGTATCCATTTCAAGTGGAAGCCTTTTCCACACAGTGCACACTGCATCGTGTTCATATCCACCTGAGCGCTGATGCTGGACACATCCTAATCTAAAGACGCCTGTCTCAGTCTCTCTGCTGTTTGGACGTTGCTGTGAAATGGTTCGTTGATACTGCAGTGACAAGGTAACTAGGGTGTCAAAAACTATGGGAATGTCAGGTGTGTTTGCTCACCTGTGAAGTGCAATATGTTTGAGCAGAAGAGAATTATAGTGCAGCAGTCTGAATTGTTTGTAAACAACCTAATGTATATTGACTGGTATTTTGCGCATTTAGATGCATTGATAAAGCATAGAATGGAAACGAGATTTAACCATGTTCTTTTAATAGGCTTGGGAGAAGATTTATTTTTAGCATGCAAAACCTTTCCAATAATTACTTTGTGCCATGTCAATTTAAACTGGTCTAATGTTAGTAGGTTTAACTTTAGACCGTTGAGTTTAAAGTTAAACCAGCTAACATTAGTGATGAATTGAGTGATTATATGAATGATAGAATGTAGGCTACATTTTATTCCATACACTATTCTCTAGTACTTCTAGTATATCTTTTTTATATATACATTTATCTTGTTAATGTTATTGACTCCTTAAGATGAATTACATTGTGTTCCTCACGATTGTTTTGGAGAAATGCATGTTAGCATTTTTAAAATAGCATTTTTAAAATTATTTTATAGATGTTTTTAGACTATTGCTTAACAGCAACAATAATAAATGTTATAAAATGTTTAAAAGAAGTCTCTTATGGTCAACCAACCTACATATATTTGATTAAAAAAACGAAATAACAGTAATATTGTAAAATATTATTGCAATTTAAAATAACGGTTTTCAATTTTAATTTACTTTAATATACAATTTATTCTTGCAGCCATTACTCCAGTCTTTAGTGTCACATCCATATATATATATATATA